CCTGGGGCAGACCGAGACCTCAGCGGGGAGGGGCTGCAGGGGCGGGAAGAGATCAGCCAAAGAACATACATGCATGTATGCATGGCCCATGGACACGGGCGACGGTGTGGGCAAGGCCTGGGGAGGGGAGCTGAGCAGAGGGGGGCAATGGGGGACATCTGTAATACTGTCAACAATTTAAAATATTTTTTAATCCAGAACAGTCCGTGCCAATCACCGCAGCACCGACCCAGCGTTTATTCAACAGACACTCGGGAGCACCAGGTGCGAGCAGGCATTGGCTCCGCCCCGAGGCGACGGCCCACGGGCAGGTGTCTGCTGGTGCTCGGGTCCTGGCGGTCACACAGGTCACTGTGGATCCCACCCGGGGAGGGGCCCTCTGCCTTCGTCTACAGACCTTCCCAGTTCTTGGTCTTTATCCCTCAGTCCCCAGAGCAAAGACAGGCTGCGGGACAGGGCCGGGGGGGGGGGGCAAAAAGCATTCCTGAATGCAGACCCCTAGGCCTGCTCCAGACCCAGACTCGGGGGGAGGGGCCTGGAATCAGCATTTTGATCTCAGTGCTGGCTTTTCGTCCTAAAGCCGAGGCTGTCTGGGGCTCTGAGGAGCCAGCGGCCCTTCTGTCCACGCCCACTGGGGACCAGGAGCTGCAGCCCCAAATTAGGGGAGGCCCATTGTGGCCTGGCCACGGGCAGGACACGTCGCTGGGACCCGGCACCCCCGTGGAACCCCGCCTGTGACCAGACCCCAGGGCCCCCATGTAAGACTCGCCTGGCCTCACCCACAGCCGGGCCCACACCCACCTGTTGCCCCAGCGGAAGTGTGATTTTGCACAATTAACCAACCTCTTTGGCCTCTCTGTGTCTTCAGCTGTGAAGTGGGGGTGCCGATGGCCGCTTCCTCGTGGGACGTGGGAATGAAGTGAGACACTTGTGAGGGCTACCCGGGCCTTGCACACAGTAGGTGCTCGGGGAGAACTCCGGCGCGACCTTCCTCACAGCCTCTGCCCTTGGGCGCCCAGGCCTCAGGCCCCCAGGACGCTCTCTGTCCTGCTCTCACCTCCTGTCTCTCCGCACGAGCCCTGCCAAGGGGGGCGGCCTCCTGTGCAGCCGCGGGCCCGCCACCTGTCACTCGCGAGCTCACCGGGACCTCCCCACGTGCCCACCCAGCGCGCTCCGCCACCCCTGCGGCCCACGGCCCTTCTGTGTTGTCTATGCACACGTGTGTGGACACCTAGTTGTGCACGGACACAGGATTCTGCACACGTGGGCGTGCCCGCAGGTGTGCACAGGTACAAGCACACACGTGCACGCACACATGCACGTCCTGCGCGCACACGCCAGTCTCCCGCGGCCGCACGCACCGCAGCACACGCGGGCCGCCCCGGGACGCGCGCCCGCCGCCGTCCGGAGGCCCCGCCTCGCCGCCTGGGGATGGGCCGCGGCTCGCGCGAAAGCGGCAGGCGGGAGCCGTGCGGCCCACCGTCTCCTCTACGGCACGGCCAGCACCCGAAGCATCGGATTTAAATCTTAAAACCGCGAGGAAAGGGCGAGCGGGAGAAGCGGGGGCCAGCTCCGCGCAGACTGACCCGACTGCGGCTCGAACCCACCGCCCCAAGACAGCGCCGGGCATGCGCAGAAGCCGAGAAGGGCGGACGCGGAGCGCGGAACGCGGGCGGGCGACGTGCCTCACGTCCCAGCGCCCCGAACACCCACAGTTCCAAGCGCAGGGCCGCGTCCGGAAGTCCGTGGAGCCTAGCTTCCTTCCTCGTCCTCTGATTCGCTACAAACCACTTCCATTTCCGCAGAAAGTTCCGAGCCAGTTCCCGACCGTTCGAGAGTCGTGTTGCTGTTTTGTTTCCGGGGGAATCTAGTTTGCTGTAGGACACGGGACTTCCGGGTGCTCCTCTCAGCCTTTGATTGGCTGTACTTATGCATATATTAGAGCACGAATAAAAAGAGGTTTTCCACACGCTAAAACGAATATAGGCGGTTTTAGTGGAGACAGTGTGGTCCCTGTAGGATGTGAGTGCTCTCTCTCGTGACTCTGAAACATGTAAATAAAGTCACCATGACCTAAAAGTGATGGAAATGGAGGGCTTTAAATAGCAATCGACGCCATGCCACGTTTGTGTTGTATGAAAGGAGAGAAGGTTAGCACTCCCCTTGACAAGGATGGAAGAGGCTCTCGGGCCTAACAACACACATACGGTTAAGGCATTGCCACCTACTTCGTGGCATCTAACCACTGTTTTTTTTCCCTTCTGCCCGGAGTACAGTGGACTACGTGACTAACAGACCTACCTGCGTGCACAGACCTGTGATGCACCCATGGGCGGCGCACAGACACGTGACTGCTTTGCTCTTTGAGCTGCATGACATTCCACTGACATGAGCACACCGCCTCCGGTCTTACTCCGAACTTCCCTCCTTCCGCGCACCAGCCTTTGGATGGGGTAGTTCGTGGGGTGGTTCGTCTGCCAGGAAAAACTGCCACCTTGACTTGGGCCAAAAAAAATGAGGGCTCGCTGGTGCCCTCGGTGCAGGCCCTCTGCCTCTGGTGTCTCAGCCATTGCCCAACATACAGGGAGCTGGGCGACCACTGTCACCCACAGAGATGCCGAAGCTGTGCGGGGGGAAATGACTGTTGCCCTGTGGGTTTCCACCACTCCTGCCAGTTTTGAATCCATTTGCAAATTCACTTCAGCATGTGTACAGGGACATGTGTGTATGTACTTCTGGTTGCTTTGTGTTTCCTATGTAGGTTGGTGTTTGAATTCTTCTGAATCGGTGGTGACAATTCCAGCCACGGAGCTTCTGGACGGCAGGGGCAGGGCGACCAGGTGCAGCCGCGGGCCTGCAGGCGAGCCCTGGCCTCCTGGTCAGGGGAGGGACGCCGAGCAGCTGGAGATCAACCACCACGCACAGGCAGGCCTCCCCGGGGCAGTTGACACCATGCTGTGAACGTGTCCGAGCACGCAGACATGTGTATACACCTAAGCTTGTTTGCTTTTTGTTCCTTTCGTTTTTGAGAAGCATGCGGACATACATTCTTTTTTTTAAGGTATTAAGGCAACTGGGAAACCTGGACAGCGAATACTTGACTGAAGACTATTTTAGGTGTGTGACGATGGTATGTGATAAGGTTCTGGAAGAAAGTTTTTTTAGCCCAGCTCCGGTTCAATTTGGTTGCAGGCTCGATCCCCAGTGGGAGCGGCGGCAGGAGGCAGTCAATATATTTTTTATAAAGAAATCTCTTTTAGATTCTACGTATTTGCTGCCTGGAGAATGAAACCCCTGGGACTTGCACTAACTAACAGCAGGGGCGCAGACAGCAGAGGCGCTGTCTCCGGAGCTGGAGGGCTGGACGTGAGGGTCTCCACTCTCCCTCGTGGTGAAGTCCCGTGACAACCTTCATAGTCGTACAGGCTCATTTTTTAAAAACCATGAACTTCCGCCCGAGGCCCCAGCGGTAATAGGGCCACATCAATTCTACCCCCGTAACAGCTACACATGAAGGTAAAAAATTCTCAGGGGACAAAAATACAAGACATGAAAATCTTTATTTCCAAAAAGTGAATGTATTTTTACATAAATCTACAACAGAGAATTCCAATGTAGAAAAAATACACTATATTCAGGATACGGTGCTCCGCACACACCCCTCCTCCCGGGGGCAAACCGACACCAGAACCAACAAAACAAGGAGCAAACTCTCCCGGGAACCGCCAGCCAAGTCCCCGCAGCCTCCGCTCTCCTATCAGGACGCTCTGAGCGGGGGCGCCCGAGCGATGCACCCTCTCCCTGCGGCCGTTTGTCCCAAAGACAGACAAGCCACGAGCACATCTACTTCCAAGGACGGTCTGTGGCAGCCGCCCAAGGTGCCTCAGGGCTGTCACACTCCCCGTGCCACAGTGGCCACCAGGGGGTTCCCAGGAGGCCTGTGAGGGTGGCCCCCACTTCCTCACAGCCCATCAACTCCAGGCCCTACAAGCTTCATCCACCACTTGGCACCGTCCCAAACCCCAGACCAGGGCCCGGGCTCAGGAGAGCAGGGGCTGAGACCCAGGCTGTGGATGGATGTCAGCTGTCTGCTCACCCAGCCCCGATGGGTCCACACCTCCCTCACGCCTCCACTGAAGGTCTCAGTGCTGCAGACTGGGTTCGAACCCAGGGGGGCCTTGCTACATGCAGGGGTCCCCAGGAGCCAGCCACTGCCACAAACTGCTCCGCAGTCCTGCCCTCACGCCCACCGCTGCCCAGGCTCGGCCGGCCGGGAGGGCCAGGCAGGCGGATGCCACCCTGCTCCCTGCCACCAAGGACTCCAAGAAGCCTGCCACCGGCAGGTCCTTAGGCCAGCAACAGAGGAGAGCCACCGGCTGGTCCCTTGGAGCCGAGCCTGCACCGGGAACTGAGGTTCTGGGGCCTCCTGCACCCCAGTCACCCCGAGAGCCATCTGCAACGTTCAGCAGGACGTTTCAGGGCCGGGCTCCGTCTCAACGAGCCTCTCCCCAAGAGCTCGTCCCCGCCGCGTGCACAGTGTGCAGTGCAGGGCCCGTCCCGGCCTTGACCAAGTCCGTGCACGTGCCAACAGCAGGGAGAGGAGCTGCCAGGGAGCCCGCTGCCAGGGCCCGCCTGCTTCCTGCCTGCGGCACGGTGTGCTGTGTGCATACCACACACCAGCACCGAGCGCCTGAGCACGAGGGTTCAGACATGGCCTCACAGGGTCTGGGTTCCAGACAACCACACGGGGAACCACTACAGGCAGGGCCGGCGGCAGTGGGACCGGGTCGGGCAGCCAGGACCTGCGGAGCCGGGCGGAGCGCCGAGGTGACCGGTCACAGCGCTGGCACGGGCAATAAAACATCAAAAACAGTACAGAACGCTTACTGGGAAAACACCGCGACAAACTGAACTTCACCTCACCTTCTGTCATAAAAAATGAAAAGTTTTGTTGACGGAACACAATAGACTAGGAACTCTTCCCAGTGAGAGGAATCGGCAACGTCTCCTCTAGAACTTTCTGGTGGGAACTCTCCCCCTTGGCCTAATGGTCCTGAGGGGTCCAGGCCCCGCCCCGACCCCCAGCCTGGATCAGGGGAACCCCAGGCTCCGCCCTGCCCTCGGGTCAGCCCGGCCGCGGGCGGGCCTAGCAGTCGCTCTTCCAGAGCTTGATGGTCTTGTCGTTCTCCAGCGCGGCCGAGGCGATGATGTTCTCGGTCGGGTGGCACGCCGTCGAGATCACCACGTCTGCAAACAAGGGACGTCCACACTCCGCCCTCACAGGGACCGCGACAACCCAGGGCCGCTCCCCGCCCAGCGCCGACCCGGCTCGCACAGCCTGTCCCTGCAACAGCCTCGGGCACCTGGGCGGGGAGCCTGCCAGGCAGCGCCTGAGCGCCAGTCCGCCCGCAAGGGGATGACGGGCCCGAGGGGGACCAGGCGCTGCGGGCAGAGGCCACACCAGGCTGGGTCACAGGTGGTCTCTGCCTGGACAACACCCTCAGCAGGGGCACCCTCACTCCCGGGACACGCTGGGCACGGGCCAGCGCACAGGCCGCCTGCACGGAGAAGCCACAGAGCCGCATGGACTCGAGGCCAGGCAGCCGAGGGGAAGAGGCGGAAGCCAGGACCTGGCGCTGGCCAGCCACTCCCCAATGGGCAGCGTCCCCCAGGCCAAGCACTACAACACCCGCCTCGCTGCAGGCAGGGCCCGGCCAGCTCACCTGTGTGGCCCTGCAGCTTCTGCACAATCTCCTTGGTCTGCAGGTTCCAGATGTACACCAGGTTGTCTTCCGAGCCGGACACGATCCACTGGGCAGATAGGGACGAGGTGAGGGGAGTTCCCATAGCCCCGGAACTCACCCCTCCCTCCCGCACTGAGTGCTGTCCTCACCCCCGTCCCGCTCCCACTCAGAAACAGAGCCACACACACGGGGCATCTAGGATGTAAAACGTTTTCTTCAGTTACCACTTTACAGGTTTTGTGTCGCTTACATTTCAGCTGGATGTCACATCCCCTCAGTCCCACTGCCCTGGACTGAGGCAGGAGGCCTGGGGCCCGGCTCTGGGCGGCCCCGGCTCTGGGCAGCATGGCCCGCTAGGCGACCACTCAGACGCCCGCCCGTGCCCACCGCTCCTGGGAGCTGTGCCAGGTCCAACTTACAGGGCCGACAGGTCCAGGAGCACCCGAGTCATGACAGCCCCTTTCTGAGTGACGGCCACCACTCCACAGCGTGTGGCTTTGTTTTCGGTTTTTGTGTCTTGTTTTGTGCACAGGGGCCTCTCAGGTGGCCCTGGGAAGGACGGCGAGAACTCACCTTCCCCCCCGTCACGGAGAAGTTGGCAAATATGCAGTACTTCTCGTTCTTGTGCCCGGTGTACGTCTTCAGGCACTGAAAGGACACGTGTGGGTCAGAGGCCGCTTCCCTGCCTCCTGACAATCCCCGAATGCTGAGTGCTCGCCCTTTAAGGCCAACCCAACGTCATTGTGAAAAGCGCTCAAATGCCCACAGCACAAACCCACGTGGTCAGAGCTGCTGTGCCAGCTGCAAACACCCACGTCTTGGAGAAATTTGCACCAAACCAACTCAATGAACATGGCTCTCTGAGTCCCCCCAGCTCAGCCATCACCCAAAACCCCACCCGGCCTCCGTACACCCGGCCCGGCGCATCGGCCCGGCGCATCGCCTCTGCTGCTTACCTTCCCTTTGCTGTAGTCCCAGAGTTTCAGGGTGCTGGAAGGAAAGAGGGGGTCACACACGCTCCCCGGCTGTCACTGGAACCCCCAGGCGCAGGTGCAGGTGCCAGCAGTGCGCGGAGCCCCAGGATTTGAGGACACCCCAGAGCACAGGGCGAGAACCCCAAATATTTAGCTCAAAGACATTTTGAAAGAAAGCTGCTGGCTGCTCCCACACCACTGGGTGGTCACCTCATGCCTGCTAGAGGGACGTGGGGGACCTGGTTCCAGAAACGTCCCAACCAGACTGGAGCACAGCACCCGCCTCCTGGAGCAGAAAGGCCCCCACAAGGGCGCTGCGGCGGGAAACGCCGGGGCTCAGCAAGGCACCCCGCCCCCGGGCCCCCAACACGTACTCAGCAAAGCCCGTGCCAACGGCGCTCCCGTGGAGGGCGACCGGGGGCTGCCGGGGAATCTGCTCCCAGGCATGTGTGGGGGGAAACGCCGCAGGGCCAGACGCAGCTCGGCCCCCAACCCTGCAGCTGGGAGGCCCGCCCCGGGAGGAAGCTGGGGGCGGCGGGAGCACTCACTTGTCCAAGGTCGCCGCCAGGATGTACTTGCCGTTCGGGGAGAACTTCACGAAGGACACGGGCGGGTTGTCGTCGTCTGCGGGAAAGGGGGGTGAGGCGGGGCTCGGGCCAGCGGGCGGGAGGAAGCACCCTCAGGTGAGGCCGCTGCCACCGGTGCCAACATCGCCGCCCCGCGTGCCCCAGGAGAGCCTGCTCGTGCCTGTCCAGCCCACGGACCCCTGTGGGGCCATCACCCTGACACAAGGGCTTGGGGAGCACGGGCCTGCAGCAGTGCAGACTCGGGTTGCCAGCCCCCCACGGGCACAGTGAGCCATCCAGCATCAGCTTCCTCACGTGAAACATCCACACGCCCAGCCAGGCGGGATGTGAGGACGACGCAAACCATTTGGGTGAATGCTCTCAGGTGTCTTCTATGACAGTTTTGCAAAAGATTTGTAAGTTCCTCTAGAAAAATACCATTGCACCCACACCGCTGCGTCTGACCCCCGGCAGCCCTGGGACCGCGGCAGGAGCCGCCGCGGGCTCAGCATCACCCGACAGCCGCAGGGGTCAGCACTCCCAGAGACCCCACAGGAGGGGCCTTTCCGCCACGTGACAGTGCTGTGCTCCCCGGCCAGGCGAGAGGACCAGAGCTTGCACCTGGAGCGGGAGCGGGGGCGGCTGGCGTCCCGAGAGCCAGGGGAGTGGCATTACCACTTTGGAGAACCCGAGCCTGGCTGCCGGGCACCTGGGGCCTATGCCGCTGGCTGGTCCAAGACACTGGAAAGGCACGGGGAAGGCGTGAGGCTGCCAGCCCCTGGGTCCCAGGGGCCCCGCCAGGAGGCAGGTGGGTAAGGCAGGCGAGATGAGGGCACCGACAGCCCCAACCCAGCCCCTGAGCACAGCCTCAGCGGGACTGTGTGCTCCAGTCCAGAAGGTTCTACCTCCTAGACCTGGGCTGAGAAACGGGACCGGGAACCGCTGCCCGCTGCCCGCCTTCCCCAGGCTCCGGGGTGCTGCTGGCCTTTTGCTGGTTAACCTCTCGGGCCTCAGTTTCCCCCGCTGCGGGGTGGCCGAGCTGATCAAAGGCTAACATAACTGGTTAACAGAGAGCGGAGGGGCTGCACCGGGCCGCCCGGGAGAGGCGGGAGAGACGCCGTGTCCGACTGCGGGGTGTCGGACTGCGGGATGTCGCTGTGGGAAGTCAGGACGCCCCTGTCCTGGCCCGTTTTGCTCAGTGTCAGAGCGTCGGCCCCAGGACCGAAGGGTCACTGGCTCGATCTGGGTCAGGGCACAGGCCCGGGTTGCGGGCTCGAGCCCGTCAGGGCCATGCAGGAGGCAGCCGATCGGTGATTCTCTCGTCACTGATGTTTCTCTCGCCCCCTCTCCCTTCCTCTCTGAAATCCATAAAAATACGTATCTTTTAAATCAATGGAAAAATATTCTCGGGTGAGGATTAACAAAACAAAAAAAGTGAGGCCCTCACAGGGGCCATGACCCAGCTTGAATGGGTCTTAGGAGTCTGACACCAGTGCACAGAACAGCCCCTGCGAGGACCTAGGAGCCGGGAGCCTCAGGGACCAGCCCTGCAGGCGGGAGGCGAGCTGGGTGGCCTGAGCCGCCCCGCAGCCTCCCCTCCCCGCACCCCCCCACATGCTTCTATGGCAGCCTCGGGAAGGAGCTTAGGGGCGCACAACCCTGTGGCCATCACCTCCACGTGGCTGCCGGCCGCACGGGCTCCCCTTTATCCTAGAACTGTGAATACTTCCGGCTCAGGTGATCAGGCTCCTAACCAGCACCCGCCCTGACTGGAACCCTCCAGGGCGGACTCCCTCCCCAGAGCCTTCCCAGGCCCGAGGCCCGTGGGGCCCATGGCGCCCTGCTCACAGGCACAGCAGGCCTGCAGCCTGCCCACGGCACCCACCAGCCATCCAGGCCAAGTCTTCCCACTCCAGGACACCCTGGCCCAGAGCGCATCCCTCCTCTAATGCCGCCTGCAGTGACCTCAGGGCCTCTGCTCCAGGCTCCTCCACGCCCCTCCTCGGAGCACGCCTGGAGGGCAAGGCGCAATCAAGCTGCCCCAGGAAGGACTAGGAAGAGGCCCCGAGGCCAAAGACAGCCAGGGCCTGCCAGGCACAGGCAGAGGGCTCAGGCCCTCAGAGGACAGGGTGGGGCCAGCCCCGTGAGGCGGGAAGGAGCTGTGGGCGACGGGAGGGCGGCAGAGGAGGGAAATCCTCCCAGAGGGGCAGATGCAAGACAGAGAAGGGGCTCCCAGAACCTCAGGCGGCGAGGCGGGCGTGATGGAGAAGGGCCCTGCCACCCAGGGCCAGCACAGCTCACCGATCAGCGTCTTCAGGCACTGGCCAGAGGCGGTGTCCCAGATCCGGCTGCAAAGCAAAACAAGTTGTGAAGAAGCCAGTCACAGCAGGTGGCCTGCGAGCGGTTCTCAATCAAACAGCTTTAGAGGGAACGCGCTTCCCCTGCGCTGTCCCGCTCACTCAGCCACTGAAGTTCCTCTCGCACGTTCCAGGGACCAGAATGGGCGCTGCGCACGCCACGGACCCGTGTGCTCTAGTTCCTCTTCCACAGCGGCGATCACACAGGGCAACCACCAAGGAGCAATAGCTGGCCCGCCACCCCACCGCGGGGTCTCCCACACAGGCACCCGGGCGGGCCCACCGAGCCCTCCCCGCTCTGGCACCGTCCACACGCACGCTCCTGCCAGCGCCGAGGGCATCACTGTCTCCCTCCCCGGTGGACGTTCCATCTTTAAGTCCCACGGGCCTCAATGTCCCCTTGGCTTCCCACCTGCTCGACACCATTCCCCACCCCTCCTGTCAGGCCTGCAGTGGCCACTCTGTGAGGTGTTTCCGGAAGAGGACGAAGGGTCAGAGGGTTTTAACCCCAAACTGACAGCCTCCTCCCAACACCGCGGCCCCACAAACCCGCCCTGACGCTCACTGAGTTCATCTAAACCAGCGGTCGCCCACCGGTGGTCCGTGAGGTCGGCGACCACTGACCTAAACCACCACATGTGCATCTTCCCTCCTGCGCCTCCACCCCCGCACACAGGCTTCACACCCCCAAGCTCCACGACCACGATCCCGAGACTGCACCGACGGTCTGCCGCCACCCCGTCCCCCTGCCGCCACCCTCTGCCGCCTGCCCGCCTGCGGTGGGGTGTCTGGAGTCACCGCTCGGGACTGACAGCCTCGTGGACGCCAGGCAGGCCGGCTCCGACTCGTCACCGTGAGCCGGGCCTTCCCCGCCCCAGGCCCGGGTGCCTGGCCGGTACATGTCAGTGTCCACAGGCGCTCAGTCTGGTCCAGGCCTCGCGGGGAGGCACCCTCCCGCCACACACACCGGCCGTGGGCCTGGCAGCACCCCGCCCCCGAGGCTGTGCTGGGTGTCCACCCGTCCGCGGCCCTCGCTGCTCCGGAGGGCAGAGCCTGCCTGCTCCCGCTGCTGCCACCCGAGGGCCACGGCTCACAAGCACGCATCGCCAAGGGGAGGGAGCGCCTCCACTCACCAGAGCCCGTCGTAGCTGCTGGACACGATCAGGGACCCGTCGCGGTTGAAGTGAACCTGAGGGGAGGGGGAGGAAGACTTGACGCCAGCAACATGGGCTTCTTCCCCGCAGCCCCACCCGAGTGCAGCCCCACCCGAGTGCGGGACCAGCCTCTGGTGCTGCCCCCAAGCTGGCTCCTGAGCCGCCGCCTGAGCGGTGGGGAGAGGACCGCTTTCCCCTGGGGCCTCTCATGGAGGAGGAACTACAGAAAGACCAGCCTGCAGTCCGCCTGGAGGAGGTGATCGCTCACTAGGAAACGGACTGAAAGGAAACCCATGGCCACAGGAGCCCCCTCCTGAGGGCCTGTCCTGTCCGGGGATCCGGCCTCCAGTCGTCACTGTCGCCCCCTCACACCCCAGTGAAGGCAGCCTGACCCAACGTAGCCAAAAATGACTTCCCTTGACATTGCTTTACAAAAGCAAAAAAAACAGGGGGGAAAACCCCCCGATTCAGTAGCCTCCTAAGATGGACGCTGGTGGCTTCTCACCCAGGTGCCTGCCCACAGCCATCCGAGCGCCAGTCCCTGCCACCGCCCCACTGCTCCAGGCCCCGGACAGGGACACACACCCGGGCCTGCCTGAGCGGCCTGGCGCTGCGAGGGCACAGGAAGGAGACCCAGGTGGCCCCAGGCTGGCGGCGGTCCGGCCCCCATTGACCTGATCTGAACGGCTAGCTCTGCAGGGGGAGGGGACACACCTCCCCACAAACACGTTCTAACCTGACACGTCCCTTTCCTGGAACGGCTTCACCTCTGGGGTTTCCCTCCTTTGCCCAATTGAATCTCAGTGCCAAGGGTCGCACTGTCAGAGGGAGGGTTCACACGCATCCCTGTTCTTTCTGTTGAGTCCTGAGCCGACGTTACCCAGGATAAGCCTTCTTACAACAAGTACCACCTTTTATAGGCTGTCTCCCTTCCTGCTATGGGACCGCTCCCGGGTGAGATGGAGGCGCAGGGCAGCCCTGGGGCCATGCTCTCAATGGAGCCATCAACCCTGTGTGCAGTGTGACTACACTGCTGTGCACACGCTGGCCCCTGCAGGACGGCAGGGCTCGGACCCCACAGAGCAGGATGGGCGCTCTCGGGCCCACCCCCCACCGTTCTCACCACAACCGGGGATTCTCACCGCAACTGGGCCATCCCACCCGCCTCCAGCCACCACCCACCACTCAGAGCTATTGGCTCCACTCTAAACTCACACTGTACCCTGGTCACACTTCCCAGGACTGAACGCCCCGACCGGAAGGTTCTGTTTGGGGACACCACTCCCCGACGCTACAGCCACCTGCCCGTCCACGGACTGAGATTCTGCAGGGTCACCATCCACACTGCAGGTGTCGATGGAGCCTGGAGTTCCCAGGTCAGGGGGACTTACGGCAGAGACGGGGTCCGAGTGCGCAGGCAGGGTCTTGAGGCACTTCCCCGTCTTCACATCCCATATCCTCACGCTCTCATCAAACTGCAGAGAAAGGAGAGATCAGGCCACTCCACAGGGAGGACAGGAGCTGACAGACCTCGGAACCCAAAACTGCCCCCAGCCCCCCAGCAGGTCACCTCTGTGCCCCACCCCCACCCGGAAGAGGCCAGCACACTTACGGAGCCTGAGACAATGAGGTTGGACTGCGGGTTGAAGTTACAGCAAAAGACATAATTACTGTGTCCCTTCAGGGTTTTCAGACACTTTCCCTACAATGAAATATTGATAGACTATCATTCCAGCGACCAAGGCGGGGCCAGGCTGACCGATGCACACCTGGGAAGCACCGCTGGGAAGCACGCCTGGGAGAGCCAGGCCGCCAGGCCCCGGCTGCCCCCCCACCCCTCTCCACTCACACGCTCCCCCAGGAGGGACCCCGAGTCCGGCTTACCGAGCTCACATCCCATATCTTTAGGGTTTTGTCATCTGAGGCAGAAACAAGGAGGTTAGAATCTGAGGACCAGGCCACATCAGATATTCCCTGGGGAGAAAACAGAGGGTCACCCCCTTGAGGGACAAAACACAATGAACCTGCAGAAGCCAAATCCCCCTCCCATCCGACTGGACACACAGCCCTCGTCCCACCCTCCACGTCCGCAGCCAGCGCTGAGCACAGGGGACCCCGCCCGGCCGAGGACCACGCTCTCGGCGGCTCTGCAGGCCTCACCGTGGACAGAAACTCGTCCGGGACTCAGGAGTATTTGCTTAAAAAAACAAGCGGTGGCAGCTCTGGCCCGTGGCTCAGTGGTTAGTGTCAGCTCTCACACCAAAGGGTTGCGGGTTCAATTCCCGGTCGAGGGCAGGCACCTGGGTTGTGGGATGTCTTTCTCTCCTAAGCCCCATGGGCCCTTCTTCTGCCTCTGTAACTGGTTCCCTGAGCCCGTGTGAACCAGTGGGCTCACTCTTTCTACCTTGGTGACGTTTCTAAATAAACTGCCACTTGTATTTGAAAAAACGAGCAGATGCAAATAACTACCAAAAAGAACCTGGAGGGGCCCCGCCAATGTGGCTCAGGGGTGAGCGTTGATCCATGAACCAAGTGACTCCCGGTCAGGACACACCCGGGTTCCAGCTCCATCCCCAAGCGGGGTGTGCAGGAGGCAGCCGATCTTTCTCTCTCTATCCCTCTCCCTTCCCCTCTCCCCAAAATCAATAAAAAACATATTTAAAAAATAAAAAGAATTCGGGGGGAAACTCAACATAACTCCACAGGCCTGAGAGAGGGGCCCCACCCACGTGATGGCTGGAGCTACGCTGTCCAGCAGCCACCACAGTGTGCAGGGCCGATACCTACCAGCTTGTGACCAGATATGGTTTTCTCGAATTTCCCATCATAGGCGCCCCAAATTTTAATGAGCTTGTCTGCAGCTGAGAGAAAGGAGTAACAAAGAGCCAGTCATCCACAGTCCAGAATCTGGGTTTTCCCACCTGAGCCCCGGGAACAGCGTGAGGGACCCTGAGGAGGGCCACCCACACGGAACAGGCAACACTCTCCACTGCCCAGCCCCTGCCATGCGGAGTGGCAGCGGCACAATTCCAACGGGGAATGGATTCTGCCAGTTAAACGCGGAAGCTAACAGGCACACCCACGCCGCACCGATGCAGAGGGGTGTCGGAAAGCAAGCCCCCCCTCTCCCCGCACCCCCCACACACACCGGTTTCTCCCAGCCACCGAGGCCCCGCTGATACCTACACGAACTCGCCAGCCACTCCCCGTTCGGGCTGAATTTCACGGAGGACACGGCTTTCGTGTGGCCGGCCAGGGTGAACTTCAGAGCATAGTTTGGTTTCACAGGTGTAGGCTGGTGAAGAAAGAGTACTCATCAGCCACAAGTACCCACCACCACCAAGTCAACCGTCAGTCTGGATTCGATTCCCAAAACTGAATGTCAAGCTCAGACCTCGGCTTGAGCTCCACACCACGTGGCCACCAGAGCTGTCTGCTTGTCACCTCAACCTGAACAAGCAGCCTGAGCTCTTACTTCTGCAGCCCTCACCTCAGTGCCTCGGCTCCAGCACCCTAATCCCACCCACCCAGACCACCAGCACCCACCTGTGCCAACCGGGTGGGCACCTGCCCGCCTGCCCGCATGCAGCCCCAAGCAAACCGGAAGGCTGCTCCCGGGGAAAGGCCTGCAGGGGTCTGCACCTGCCCAGGCATCAGAACTGCGGCCGAGGGGGGGGGGGGGGCTGCGGAACAGCGCTGCCTGGGCCCTAGACTCTCACAGGACTGAGGAGCTGTGTTGTTGCTGAGGCCCCGCCCCAGGGGACGGGTCTGGAAACCGCCAGTCACAGAACACAATCGGCAGCAGCTCTCTGCCGGGAGAACACCCTGATGGACCTGCAATGCCATCCCCAAGCATCTTGCAGCCCGTGCCCCTGCAGTTCCCCAGGAGCCGCGGGGACTTGCCTTGCTCTGCGTGGCCGACGACGAGGGGGTGGGCTGCGCTCGGGCAGCCTCTGCCTCCGGCTTCTTCTCCTCTGTTGCCATGGCTCCGAGGCCCACCGGGCAGCAGGGAGATGCAGGCGGATGGGTTCACAGCTCCACACGGAACACGCAGAGCAGGAAGAACTCTGGGCTAGCGCAGCCTACAGTGGGGGACCTAGGCCAACAAGCAAACCATATATTAAAAGGCAATTTCCAGGAAAAAGGATAAAAACCATTGGACCACCTCACAGAGCCTGGATCTGCTGCTCCAAATGGAGGCGCCTGTTACCCTAACTCCCTAAAGCTTTCAGAGGCTGCCTGGCGAGCCCCCTCAGGCTCCTGCAGTAGCTGTGATCAAAGGCCCCTCCTTCAAGGCTGCTCCCTATTGTTACCTGCGAGCCTGCGGGAATGCAGCCCCGCCCGCCCAGTAAACACAACCTCTGCTTCAAAGAGCCCTGCAGGCTGCTTGTCAGGGAACCAGCCGGGTTACAGGAGGCTGCGCTTGGGGTGCACAGGTGTGGGGACTTATCCAAGGCCTCACATGCACCCGGGGATGCAACAGCTGAGAGCCATGTCTGCAAACCCAAGGGCTCCCCCGGCCCTGCCTGCTGGCGCAGCCGGAGCATGGGCCACGGTCTGCATGAGGCTGGCGCTGCGGGAGGGAAAGCCTGGCTCCAGTAGGTCTCACCGCGACCATGGGAGCTACCCTCCCAGAAGCACACCGGAGGGGAGCCACCAGGGTGTTCTTGTAAGTATCATGGCCGTCCAACTCCCGGAAGCCGGAATCAGCAACAGGAGTTTGCACTGTGAGTTCTTGCTTGGAGCTTAAAACTGAAGTGTGCACAGTGAAGTGAAATGGAAGCCATCAGAAAAAGAGCAAGTCTCAGTCTTCGTCCACGAAGGGTTAGGAATTACAACGCAGCACAGCAGAGCACGGCGCGGCCACGGCTGGCCACCTGCAGCGAGGACGGAGCCCACTGCACCGCGTGGGGGAGGGGAGAGGTGGGCGGGCAGTCCTGCCAGGGAAAACGTGCTGGCACTCAGCTGCCGTGGGCAAAGGCTACTCGGCGATGATCTGCGGCCTTCCCCTCGGTGGGCTGGACCAGTCCCGGGAGGGAGGAGCAAGGACCAGGGCTAGAAAGTCCCTTCCGGAGAACCCAGCCCCGGGGACGCCCGACCACACGGGGCTGGGGCCAGTGTGGCTCCCGGGGCGCCGGAGCGATCCCAGCACCGGGGGAGACAGGAGAGGAGAAAGGAGCGTTTCAGGGGCCAGAACAGCGCGTTTTAGCATAAAAACGGAGGCCCACCAGGAGGTGCGGCTTGCCCAGGCAAACCGGCTGCCCTCAGGTGAGGACAGAAAGGATGCCCAACCCTCCGCATCCGCTCGCACCTGGGGCGCGCCAAGCATCCGCGCAAAATCCCAGCTGGGCTTCCACCCGGACCCCAGGTTTCTCCCTAAGGGGGGGGGGGGGGGGGAGCGCGGCATTTTGGGCATTTTTAAACCCTCGGTGGTTCCTG